TATTAAGTCTCTATATACTATTTACTACACAACAACTCTCTTCCTGATCTTTCTCTTTAATTTATTTTTTGTTACTTAATACTTCCCGTCAGTATTACATTAAAAAAATGGGCCATTGCATGATCCTGTGCACCCCTGGACCCCAAACTATTTTAGGCCCAAATATTTTCATTTTCACAATGAGATTTTAGAAAAAACAACTATACAATACGAAAACAAGTGATATTTAGATAAATAGAATCAGTGGTAGAAAAAGTACAGCTGCAACTGCCTAAAAAAAACGTGGACCAAGAATGAAATCCGCTAGCATAGAGCAGTTATTTGGAAGGCCCCCGACTCCCTTGGCAACCAGGGGCCAGAGAAACCTTAGTGCAGCCCTGCTTCCCATGTATGCCATGCTACTTGCATGATATGGAAAACAAGGCAGATAAGTTAATTTCTGATTGCCCAAGCCGTACGAATAGACAGTGCTGGTAAGAAACGAATTTATTTTTAATATTTCTCCAGCAAAAATAAAAATTTCGTCATCAATGATCACTGAAAGATGACCGAAGCTTGGATGTGGTAAGACTGCCAACATTGAAGTTAAATGGGGGTGATGAATTTGTGTACTAAAGATCCTTTTTACGATTTGATGACCGTCTCAACTCTCAAAGGGTACCTGACTAGTCCCCTCGATCATAATTACTTCGTCTTTACGACAAGAATATTCTGATATGCGGAAGATTGTTGGTCTTATTTTGTAAATCAAGTTTGAAAATGTTACTATAGGCTGATTCTTCTTTTATTTTTCTGGTATTTTATCTTTCTAAATCAAAAGTACCACCCACTCCAAATAAATCAACGTAGCCTGGACTGTCTACCCTCATATCTGACGCTATTTTAATAGATTTTCATTGAACTGCGGAAAGTATTCGCTGTTGCTCTTTTTTCCAAAGGTTTATAACAGCTGAGATTACATAGAGAGTTTGGATGTTCGCGAATTTTCTTTTTTTCAATGTAATATGTTCAGCGACTTGAAAAAGCGCAATGTCCTATTACACTCCAATCCAGTGGTAAGGATATTTGTTGTCAAAAGCAGATTTAAAACAGGTAAACGATTTGAAAGTGGCATTGCAGACCAAAAAATGTCCTTTCCTGTTGTTCTAGAATAGAAGATAGAAATCTTACAAAAACAACCAAGTACACTTCCATCATTTACAATACAGAGACTCCAACATTTGAAGCAAGTAGAAAACACCTTGGTTATTGATTCTTCGCATATTACGAATTTAAGTTGATCTGTATAAGATTTGTGAATTGTCAACACTATTTTTGTAGAGCAGTTTTCATCATTCTCATTAAATTCTCTATCAGATTCTGTTTCCTCACTTGAGGATGGTAAGTATTCTTCTTCGCTTTCACCAAGAAATTCCTGTATTGCAAAATGTCCCGATGTTCAAAGATATTAGCGTTTTCACGATTTTCAGACGTCGATTCTTCGGGACAGTCTGTCAGAAAGTTTTGTTTTTGTTTCCATTTTGTCGTTTTTTTCGAAATTATTGATCGAATCAGTTTAAGTAGATGTTGATGAATTGTTCCAGGTGAAAAGACTATCTAGCGACACAGAACTGACAAATGTTTGGGTAGCCTTAGTTTTCCTCATGATCATTGGGATACTACCAAAAATGGTCTGAACGCAAAATGAATAGCGTTTTGTTTGTTCACCCATATATGAATCTTGGCTGTGTACTGTTGTGCCAATTTCCCAATTGCAATTAGTCGATATATCTTCTTTGTAGCATTGATTGTTTTCGGATACGGTCGTACATTCAGCGTACGATATTAAAATTTTAACCTCCTGAAAAAAAAAATTGAAATATTTACTGGTTTTCCTCTTTCAAACAAAACGAAAATCAAATTAAATGCTTGTATCTTATTGTTTTTTAAGGTCATAAATACAACACATTATTATAAAGTACTCACTTTTTTTCATGAAAGAGAACTAGCTGATCTTTTTGCTTCTGATGAGTTATTACGACAAAATCCAACAAAATTAATTGACTTTAAAAGTCTGGAGAATGTCCGGGAAGAAATGCATAGGGGGCAAAATGTAGGGAGTACAAGCAAGTATATTTTGATGGGCGAAATTTTTTATGCTTGCAAAACTCTATCCAAATATTTAGCCTTTTGCTTTCCTCCTTGTTTTTTAGTTTAGGAAATGAAAGAAATGTTTTCCGTTTTTTTATCTTTTTTACTATCGCTGTTGCCGCCACACACCGGGACAGTACCAGATTATAAATTTTCAAACTACTAAACTTTTGGAAAGTTTTTTTGTTTACCTGGTTTTGACGTCATGCATAATAATCCAGCATAAATTTACATACGCAGTACGTTTAAAGTGGCTGAATAGTAAAGTAACATTATCAAGAAAAAGGCTTTCTCCTTGTTCATCAGGCTTGTTTCAACAGATTATTTTAAAACGCTATCATAACATAAAGATCAAATCCCCAAAATTAGATCAGGCTCCACATCGTTTATTTGTTTGTTTTTACGCTTTAGGAAACAAAACATTTGATATAAAAATTTCCAGCATTATTGTTTTAAAAAAATATATATAAAAGCAAAATCATCGACATACGGCTTTTGGAATAAAATTGTTTTGACTCCAAGGAGACCCCCAAAATCAGAGCAGGCTCCACATTGTTTATTTGCTTGTTTTTTACGCTTAAGGAAACAAAACATTCACAGATCTTAGCTACTTTAGATAAATATATGTATGCCTATATAATATTTTAAGATGCAAATATGAGTGATATATCCTTGTTTCTGTACAAAAATTGAGTTTGTTTTAGCCATCGTTGATACCACCATAGGCGTCCCAATAAATCACAAAATTGTATAAACAAACGAAAACTCGGCCCATTGCATTGTAACAGACCGTGCGCCGCAAATTTTGTATTAATTGACTATGTATATTTTTGACTATGTATATCAAAACGACCACCAACCGCATCAACCAGAAACTGAAACAACTAAAAGACAAAAAGAAACTAAACGAAAACGACTACAGAAGAATCCGGCCCAATGACGCATCCACCGCCAAATTCTACGGACTACCAAAAATCCACAAAGAAAACAACCCACTTCGACCTATCGTATCGCTTCCAGGATCACCTACGTATGAACTTTCAAAATATCTTTATAACATTCTGTATCCGTTAGTCAAAAATTCACCTCACACCATCAGAAATGCCACCACTTTCCTCGCCCGTATTTAACACATTAAACTACGACCAGACGAAATCATGATATCCTACGACGTGACATCACTCTTCACATCCATACCACTAGACATCGCCAAACAAATTACAAACAAACTACACACAAACGACAAAACTTGGCAAGCTACAACACAACTAGACAAAAATGACATAATAGACTTACTCAACCTTTGCCTCTCCACTGAATTTACCTTCCAAAACACATACTACAGACAAATTTCAGGCACACCAATGGGATCACCACTATCCACCTTCCTCGCAGAAGCTATCATGCAACACCTCGAAACACAATCACTCACAAACAACACTAAACACACAAGTATACCGCAAAACCACCCACACAGATCAAATACTCAATTTCAACAGCAATCATCCAACACAACACAAAATAAGCTGCATTCGAACACTTTTCAACAGGATAAACACTCATTGTAATACGGAAGAAGCCAAAAAAACAGAACGCAACTACTTATACTCCACATTTATTAAAAACAATTACCCTAGAAACTTCATAAACAAAACTATATACAAAATACAAAACAAAACACAAACCGACAAAAGCAACAAAAACCGGACGAAACAGTAAAATCGTCACATTACCATACATAAACGGAACATCAGAAATGACTGCCAGACTTCTTCGACCATTTAATATTAACGTCGCTCACAAACCTACACAAAAACTAAAATCATGTTTCACCAAACATAAAGACAAAACAACAATTCATGATACAACTGACGCGATCTACATGATACCATGTAAAGACTGTTCAAAGCAATACATAGGACAAACATCTAAGAAAATTGAAACAAGACTCACAGAACACAAAACGCCATAAAACGACGAGATCCGAACTCACTACCGGCAGAACATACCCACGGAAACAACACATTCGACTGGACAGAAACTAAAGTACTCGGACGCGCACAGACTAAACACGCACGCGAATTTAAAGAAGCTTGGTACAGTGAAGACAACGACACAATAAACAGACATATCGACATACCCATCATATACTCACAACTAAAGAAAAAGGACAAAAAAACTACAAACAACACAAAAACTAAAACACTACACTCTAATATTATTAACACCAATCATATTAACAACACACCAAAACCCATGGCAACGCATTTCACCCCATCCAATCACATTAATCCACCCACTAATCCAATTAGACGCTCTAAACGTCTCCAAGCTAAAAGCACGTGTAAATAAATATTTTTCATCCTGATGAAGGCTCGAAGCAACGAGTCGAAAGCTCAATAAAACTCACTTTAAATCCCGAGAAACTTTTATCTTTTATATATTAAATGCCTGGATTACAAATTTTCAAACTTATATATATATATAGGAAATTTTGTTTATTTGAATCTCCGTAAGTACAGTGCTCGATGCGTAAATATTAATGAGAAGAAGAAAATACACAAAAACTACAATTTCATCCCGACAAGCCTGTTTCGTGATTTCTCACTCTTCAGGGGATAATATTAAATGAATACAAAGCATGTGCTAGATTATATATACAAGAGGAAGTTAGGTTAAAAATTGAGATAGGCCCGATTTATACTAGAGACGGATCATCCGTCTGGACGAATCATCCGTCTGACAGATCATCCGTCTAAGTATAAACACGAGACGAACTATCCACACAAAATTCATATAGACGAACGAGACGAACTTGTCAATTCGGAGGCTCGGCAGCAAACGTCTATGGCGAAAAATTCAAATTCAAAATGGCGGCAGAAATGCAATTGGTGAAGCATTTATCTCGAAAAAGAAAATTAAACGAAGAAAGATTATTTTTGTGGCAAAGAGAGAGCGTTACACGAGCAAAGCGTCGTTTCGAAGATGAATTAGCTGATGAGATCGAACTAGCGCTTGCTGCAGCATCATCTGTTATTTTTCTCACTAGAAAACAAAGGAAGGACAGGCGTCCTGATGAGCGCAGGAGAAATACTTGGTGGTCTGAAGGCTATCAATCTTGGAGTGATGCAGCATTCAAGAGCCGCTTCAGAGTGTCTCGTGCGACGTTTGATTTTCTTCTAAACGAAATTGGTCACGAAATTGTTAAACAACCAACTCGAATGAAACCCCATCCAACAACTCTTGATACACAATTGGCAATTTGTTTGTATCGGTTGGCACATGGAGTTACCTATCTAACAGTAGGAGATTTATTTGGTGTTGCTGCATCAACTGCTTATTGCATCTTCATGGACGTTTGCAAAGTGCTGGTCAAGATCTTGTATGACAGGTTTATTTACCTACCAAAGACAATAGATGAATGGACACACGAACTCCAAGGGTTTCTTGAAAATTGGGAGTTTCCATGTGTTGGGGCATGGGATGGCTTTCATGTATATGTTTCGAGTAGATTGAAGAATTTTTATAGTTACAAGAAGCGATATTCTGTTACTAATATGGGGTTTATTGGATATAATAAAAGGTTTATGTTTGCTGCAGTAGGTGCACCTGGCTCAACTCATGATTCAAGGCTTTTAAAGAATTGTGAAGTATACTCAGAAATTGAACATGGCAAAGTGCTGCCAAAAAAAAATCACTGAACCTACAACCCTATGGAGAAATACCACTTACAACTGTTGGTGATTCAGCCTTTCCATCCCACTCGTGGTTGCTTAAGCCATACAAAGAAGGAATGCGAGAACCCCAAAAAAGGTACTTCAACAGGAGGCTTTGTTCTGCCCAAGTTGTGTCCGAGCATGCATATGGGATGCTTAAAGGTAGATGGCGAATCTTGTACAAGAAGACAGAATGTCATTTGGATAATATTCAAATATTAATCATGACTTGCATTTTGCTACATAACATTTGCATTGACAGAAATGATCCATGTAAGCCCAGATGGCTTGAAGTAAACCAGCTCAATCTCATTCGTGGATCTGGCCAAGCAACAAATGCAGCTGAAGATGTAAGATGCATGATATCTAATTGGCTATGGACATTGCGGCAAGAAAGAGCCATATAAATTATGAATAAGTTTTAATAGTTTAATAGTTTAGCAATTTTTGCTTTTGTGTTTCATAAAAATCTGTTGTTGTTACAACATAAGTCATCTTCTAATATGCATTTTCCTCAGTGAGGTGCATCACTAACCAAACTGTCTTTCAAGCATTTGGCTATTTCTCATCTGCCAGTAGTTTGTTGCCAGAGAGACTATTACAAAGTTAACTCTCACACAGAGAACAAACCTAACCAGAATAAAACATATACTTGTATTTAGCTGGAAAACTCAGGAAAATTAACATTTAGTGTAAGACTCACGTTTATTGATGAAGTTAAATACCTATACAATATACTTGTAAATTTGTTGTAAATTTGTTTCCTTCAAAAAAATTCATTTTAATCAATGATACATCTGGCATTCTGATTTGTGTACAATGTATACATTGTACACAAATATACTGGAATGTGTTCACTTAATGGAAAAAATATCAATATTTTTTGTATTACATGAAAACAGAAAAAATATCAGCATCAAAATATTAATAAAATCAAATAAAGGAATATTTTACATTGATATTTCCAAAGTCACAATTAACATCCAATTAACAAGCATATACAAGTAAATTAAATGTTTCCATGCATTTTGCACAATTTGTCATCAATATATAGGTACTTTGACACTCAATTAACATTATTGATTCAGTTTTATAACACAGAAAAAATAAAAAACAAACAACATCAAATCTTTGGAATTGACAACTAAACTATACTATTTAATTGTTGATGCTGACCATGTAGTTAATACACTGCTGTTTTTCACTTAACTTAATTACGTTCATACCAAGGTTGGTTATGCTGATTTGACATTGGCATACCTAGACTTGTGGTACCGTCATGTGTGGTTTGTACTGTTCAAGTTGACTGAAATTAAAACCACCATAGGGATACATGTTGTGAGGAGACTGCTGGTGAGCAATCTGGATATTTGGAGGGCGAAGATGTGGGGCTTCTGATTGATAAGGTCTACTGTACTTCATGATCATTTCCAACATCTTTATTTCGTGTTGCCTGTTGAGCTCTGCTTGTTCTCTTTGAAAATTTAAGAACTCCTGTTGCCTTTTCTTTTCAGCTTCAGAAAATAACTCTGAACGCTTTTGTTGCATCTCTCCCATATCAGAAAAAGACTTGGCCATATTCTGAATTGCTTGTGCTTGGCTTTTACTCTTTTTTGGAAAAAAGGTCTGATTTCAAGTTTAGCTTTATGTTTCCCTTTGGTGTTACTGCTGGAGCTACTGTTTGTACTGGCTTCTAGTACATCATCATCGCCACTATTATCAGTTGCTTCAATGCTAAGGCCGCTGGTATTACTAAAAAGTGTATCTGGTCTATCAACTGTCTCATCCTCCTTGTCTGAATCTGACAATGAATTGTCTGATTCGTAAGATAACAGAACATCACCACTACAGGAAGCAACATCTGCATCTCCCATGGTATCAGAAAATATTGGATTAATGATGGTGAACCACTCTGGCTCAACAATCGTTGCCTTTCCGCTTCCCTTTTTAACACGATCTGTAAATTTTCGCCACTGACTTCTAAGAAACTTATACTTAACTCGGAGCCTAGCTGGAGTAATTTCCAGGGGGGTATCTTTCAATTTTCGAATTTTCTCTTTCACGTTTGCTTTCTTCTTTGAATTCGTCAGATTTTAGGTATGTTTCAAGATCTTTTGCAATTTCTTCATAAACACACAAGTTTGCAGACTTCTTTAATGCTAGCGTTTCTAATTGAACAGCATACTGTTTCTTTTCATCTGCTAGTACAATTGCAAAGTATTTTAATTCAGTTTCGGTCCAAACTCGCTCCTTCTTAGCCCTATTTTTCTTGTTCGAATCATGAACCATTTCATGAACACGATCATTGCTTCTATCCGCCATATTGACTATTATGGGTGAAATCCGCTAACAGCGAGTAACGAAGTATCATTTGTTTTGGTAGTTCGTCCACAGTACGCATTTATACTCACAGACGGATGATGCGTCAAGACGAACTACCCATGCAAATTCGTCTAAACAGACGAACTATTCTGATAATTCGTCTTGAAGGATGATCCGTCTGTTTGCCCGTATTTAAACACAGACGAACTTAAAGACGAACTATGTTTTTCTTGCCCAAGTTCGTCCAGACGGATGATTCGTCTCTAGTATAAATCGGGCCAATGTATACCTGACGATCCATAATGACTACACCATTGCCTTTGTCAGGTTTAAGAACAATGATTTTGTCATTATTACGGATGTTCCTTAGAATTTTATGTTTCTTCAGGTCTTTAGGAGTTGGATGGTAGGAAGTTACGTACGTGTGTGCCAAGTGACCAAGTTCCGTTTTTTACAAACATCTACAAACATCTTCAAGCCTCTCCTTCATGTAAAAACAAATTCTCACCTTCCTGTTTTAAAATCATCGAAACTGATCAATCCACTTTCTCACTCAAAATCAAGGAAGCTCTACACATTAATAAAACTAATCCCGATTTAAATATCCAAGTTCACCACTACAACACTATATTTACTTTATAATAATACTTTTGTTATAAATTCTTAATACTTATTTTAGAACTTACGTTATAGTTATTAATACTTAATACTCATTGTAATTAATTTACTCATATCATATTATGTATCATATTACTTAACACTAATCATTCTGCACTGAAGATGGCATTCTGATAATGTCGAAACATGTTTGCTCTCAAAAAAATCGTCGTTTTTCTCAAGTGTTTTTTAAAATTGCTGCTAATTAGAAATTATGGTAATATTATCTACGACTTAGCACAAAATTCTCATGGAAAGGTTTCCTTGTTTTTCGAAATTATGAAAAGCTTACAACTAAGAAACGCAAGGCTGAACTTGATGTCGCCTTCCTTAAAGATTGCAATTCACTTGGAGTTTTCCAAAGTTCCTGTGTTTTCCACTACCTAATGTTGACAATCGAGATACATACCACATTCGAAAGCGTTTACTACGAACTACGATAACGAAGAGATCTAAAGAACTACGGACACTGGATAGGGACCTGACGAACAAAACAGAAGAAATCAAAAGCTTTCTTAACCCAATTGACTGGCATATCTTGAATAAAGCCCTCAAAAAGAATGTCGACAAACAACTGAACAAAATATTTTCGACACACCGTAAGAAACTAAATAATTTGACCAAAAACAAGGCTATACCATTCACTCATAAAGACACTGTCACCAACCTATCATCTGTAAAGCTAAGTGAAGATGAACTTAACGCTCTAAAAAACGGTCTCAGCTTCAGCATCAAACCTCCAAAAATCCACTCCTCCGACATTTTGGCAACATTCGAACGAATCCACTATTCATTAAGAGATAAACTTATCAAACAAGAGGACTATTCAATACTAAAAACGGAACTTGGGCACTTGGCACACACGTACGTAACTTCCTACCATCCAACTCCTAAAGACCTGAAGAAACATAAAATTCTAAGGAACATCCGTAATAATGACAAAATCATTGTTCTTAAACCTGACAAAGGCAATGGTGTAGTCATTATGGATCGTCAGGTATACATTAACTCTTGCCTCACTATAATTAACAATTTATCAAAGTTCAAACCACTCGATCATGATCCTACAATTTCCCGTGAAGCAAAGTTACAACGACTGTAACTTAAAGAAAAACTCTATAGACGAAAAATCATTTCAAGAAATGTACCCTAGAGGTTCACAGCCAGCTCGATTATATGGTTTACCTAAACTTCATAAATTAAACGATATCAATGACATACCTCCTATCAGACCTATAAATTCTTCAATCAATTCGTATAACTACAAATTAGCCAAATACCTCAGCTCTTTACTCCAACCCTAATACCTAATGACCATTCTGCTAAAGATTCTTTTAGTTTTATCGATGATTTTTATCTTTTAACACTAACGCTCCACATGACAAATTCTTTATTTCTTTTGACGTTGAAAGCCTTTTACCAACATACCACTGACCGAAACCATAGACATTGCTATTGATTTAATTTTTACCAACAACCCTACATTCAAAATGAGCAGAACAGAACTAAAACTATTGTTTAACATCACTACGGCCGAGACTCATTTTTATTTAACGGTAAGTACTACGACCAAATTGACGGGGTAAGTATGGGCTCACCCTTGGCACCCATTCTAGCCAACATTTTCATGGGTTTTCACGAACGAAACTGGTTAAATAACTACAGCAACAACAAACCTTTATTTTACCGCAGATACGTTGACGACATTTTTGTATTTTTCATAACAAAGACGAAGCATTACTCTTTACGAATACATCAACAAACAACATCAAAGCATAAACTTTACATACGAAACCGAACAAGACAATCAGTTACCCTTTCTTGACATCTTACTAACTAAATCACATGAAAACTGTATGACCTCTACGTACCACAAACCAACATATACAGGACTACTGACTAACTTTTTAGTTTCACACCATTAAATTACAAAATTGGACTGATACGAACACTGACCGACAGAGCACGGAAACTCAACAACACAGACATCGGCTTTCAACGTGATT